CCATTGTATATGTGCCACATCTTCTTTATCCATTCATCCGATGATGGACACTTAGGTTGTTTTCATCTCCTGGCTATTGTAAATAGAGCTGCAATTAACATTCTGGTACATGACTCTATTTTTAACATAGCTTTTATATGTACTAGGAAACCAAAACATTTGTGCAACTCACTTTATTGCGCTCTTCACTTTATTGCAATGGCCTGGAACTTTACCCCCAATATCTCTGAGGTATGCCTGTATATAAGGTCATATCATCTGCAAACAGAGACACTTTTACTTTTTACTTTTCAATTTGGATGGCTTTTTTCTTTTTTTTTGACTAATTGCACTGGCTAGTACTTCTAGTACTATGTTCAATAGAAGTGTCAAGAGTGGGCACATATCTGTGAGCTTTTCAGTTTTACTTCTGTTATTGATTTCTTGTTTCATACCACTGTGGTCAGAAAAGATACTTGATATGGTTTCGCTCTTCATAAATATGCTATGACTTGTTCTGTGATCTATCTTATGATTTATCCTGGAGGATGTCCTGTGTGCCATTGGGAAGAATGTGTATTCCTTTGCTGTTGAATGAAATGTTGTGTATGTGTCCATTTGATTTAAAATATAGTTCAAGTTCCTTTGTTGATTTTCTGTCTGGATGATCTATCCATTGTTGAAAGTGGGGTATTGAAGTCCTCTACTATTACTGTAGTTTTATTTCTCTCTTTAGACCTGTTAGTATTTGCCTAATATTTAGGTAGTCCGATGCTGGGTGCGTATATATTTATAATATTGTATTATCTTGATTAATTGATCCTTTTATCATTATATAATGAGCTTTTTTGTCTCTGTTTCAGTTTTTAACTTATAGTATATTTTCTCTAATATAAATATAGCTATGCTTGATCTCTTTTGGTTTCCATTTGCTTGGAATATCTTTTCCCATTCTGTAACCTTGAACCTATACATGTTCCTAAAGCTGAAGTGAGTCTCTTGTAGGTAGCATATTGTTGGGTCTTGTTTTGTTGTTGTTTTTTAAATCTATTCAGCCACTCTATGCCTTTTGACTGGATAATTTAATCAATTTAAAGTAATTGTTGATCAGCAAAGATTTATTGATGCCATCTTATTGTTTCCTGACTGTCTTGTATTTCTATTTTTGTTTTCTTCCTCTCTTGCTGTCTTCCTTTGTTAATTGATGATTTTCCTTAGAAGTGTTCTTTGATTCCCGTCTCTTTTTCTTTTGTGTATCTACTATAGGTTTTTGTTGTGATTATCATGAGGCTCACATAAAATATCTTATTCTGTTGTAAGCTGATGATAACCTGATTGCATACAAAACTACCCTTCACTCCCCCTCATTTTATGTTTTTAATGTAACAATTTATGTCTTTTTATTTGTATATCCATTAACAAGTTATTTTGGCTACAGTTATTTTTAATACTTTTATCTTTTTTAACCTTTCTACTGGAGTTAAGTGGTTAATACACCATTGTATGATAGTATTAGAATATTCTGAATTTGACTATGTACTTACCTTTACAACTGTGTTTTATATTTTCGTGTTACTAGCTAGTATCCTTTCATTTCAGCTTAAAGAATTCCTTTTGGCATTTCTTGTAAAGCTGGTATAGTGGTGATGAACCTCCTCAGTTTTTGCTGTCTGGGAAAGTCTTTATCTCCCCTTCATTTCTGAAAGGCAGCTTTGACAGGTGCCTCTTGTTTAGGACCTTGATCCATTTTGAGGTAATTTTGTATATGGTGTTAGATAAGGGTACGAATTCATCCTTTTGCATGTGGCTATCCAGTTTTCCCAACGCTCTTTATCGAAAAAGACTGTTCTTTCCCCTTTTAATGGTCTTGGCATCTTTGTTGAGATCATTTGACCATATACGCAAGGGTTTATTTCTGTCCTCTCTATTCTATTACATTGGTTTATATGTCTATTCTTATGCCAATACCACACTCTTTTGATTACAGTAGCTTTGTAATAAGTTTTGAAATCAGGGTGTGTTAGACTTACAACATTGTTTTTCTTTTGAAGATTGTTTTGGTTATACAGGGTTTCCTGAGGTTACATATAAATTTTAGGATGGATTTTTCTATTTCAGCAAAAAGCATTATTGGAGTTTTGATGGAAATTACATTGAATCTGTAGACCACTTTGGATGATATTTACATCTTAACAGTATTAAATCTTCTAGTCCATGAATATGAGATTTCTTTCCGTTTGTGTGTTTCTTTAATTTCTTTCAGCAATGTTTTGTAGTTTTCAGTGTACAAGTCTTTTGTCTCCTTGATTAACTTTAGTCCCGTGTATTTTATTCTTTTTCTTGCTATTATAAATGAAATTGTTTTCTTAATTTTATTCCTGTTTTCATACGTAAATGTTGTGCAGTCACTCAAACTGTTCAATTATCTGTCTATTTTATGCCCACATAAGATCATGGAAATTCTCTATATTCAGATGTTTTATTCATACAGTTCAAATCAAAATAAAATTCCCATAACTATCCTTGTACCTTTAAAAATCTAGAATCCTGAGCTTGGTGGTAAGAACATAACCTCACGTCTTCATAAAACCCATCGAGAGAGAAGACTTAAAATCCTTCTGGGAAAACACTCCCAACCCCAAAATAATCTCAGATAGGCAGTAGAACACAGTGATCTTCTAAAATGAGGGGAGACAAATTCACATTTTGTATAATATACACTACAATCAGTAATGCAATTAGTGACCATAAGCTTTCCAATGTACAATTTATTCAAAAATCTGAAATGTTCAGTGGATAAGGAGACAGTTACATGCTAGAAAGATGTAATATTTTTTGCATGGTTTAATTAAAATATAAAGCTATTTGTCCAAATAAAAGCCATATTCATTATGTACTTGTTTTTTTTATTGTAAAGGTCACTGGTACATGTATAGTCTGGACGTGCTGGTAGTATCAAAGTCAGTGCCTCTTCCCATGGCAATAACAATGCATTTAACATCAACTCATGGGTTAAATCTGGAAATGACTTCATAGCATTACTTTGGCTAGCACAACAATTTTAGACAACACTCAGATAAATATAGGTACTTGAAATGTGAAGCATTTATCTATGCAACTTAAATTGTGGTTGAAAACTATCAAATGAAAACTGAAAATAAAAGCACTTTACAGTAGAAAAGTTTTGTAAAGATAGGGTACTTTTTAAAGTCTTTATATCACATTGTTAGCAAATTTTGTTTTTAACACTATTATGGAATAGCCTACTTGTGTTAACAGATTTTTGAAATAAGAAAATAGTCAAGTGTGCCACGGGGTTTTCTAAAAATCAAGCAACACACACTTATATATACAGTATCACTCAGTACCTGCAAAATGAATGTGAAGATTACAGGTCTAATCTCTTATTCTACAATAATAAGCAACAGAAACAACATCCTACCAGTGAAGGCAGAAAGTCGGACTTAGAAGAATCTAATCTCAATTGACTTTAAAGCATTCATATAAGAAATAAATGCATATTGCACAATGAGAAAAAATGTTCCTCCAAGCAACTCAGTTCCAGCTGGGGGACAACACAGCACTAGCCTGCACCTAACAACAATCTCAGAAGAGCACATGTTCTTTTCTGGAAGTGATAAAGGTATGAAAACATAGAAATGTCTGCCACATGAAGAGTTATAAAGAAAAAATACAAACCCAAACTTAGATGTAAAGCAAATAAAACTAAATGTTGAAAGATCAAAAAATGCTGAATAACTGTCTTCTGTGAGAGCTGAAAGTTTTTGTTGACACAAAAGTATTTACGTACAACTAAGCCTTGCTGGTTAAATATCTGAGGCATATCTGGCCTTGAACACTTTCTTTATATGCTGGAGTTGTACACAAGTTTTCTCAGTTATTTAAAATAAATAAATGAAAAACCCCACTTCTCAGCAGCTGCATTAACATGAAACAATGACCTCGATACAAGGGAAAAAAAAGAAAAACAAAATGAAACAGAAATCCTAGATAAGTAGGCAATTGGCAGCATATCCAAAAATGATAGCCTCCAAGGACACTTCCCAGTTTCCAGTGACTTTCAGTTATGGTCCATGGGATTACAAATATGTGCAATTCCATTACTTGCTGCTTTTTATTTAATTTGGAAAGTTTGCTTATGACTCTGATCAAGTCCCCATTTTCATCCTTTAACCTCTGGTTGTCTGCTTTTAGATCTGTTAACATTTTGAGCTCTTCTTTCACTTGAGATATTCTTTTTAGAGCTCTCTGTCCCCTTTTTTCCCAACTTCCAATAGTGACCTATGTGCAAATCTTTCTTGTCTCTGGGTGGCCTTTTCCAGTTGCAGTTTGAGATCTGTCAGTTTCATATATGTGTCATGTAGCTATGCTTTCAGCTTTTCATTTTCAGTTCGAATTTGTTCCTAAAGCTTTTTAAAGTCAGGTGAGTCATCCTTTTCTAGCCTGCTACTGTAAGTCTTTCTTTTTTTTTAAGTAACTGTATGATCCAGAGCAACCCAGCAAGGAATTAATACCAATCACTAGATGACATAGAACTTGTTTCACATCTAGAAATGAAATCCACCTAAGTTTCTTTCTTATTGGATCTCCCATCTGTATGTGATTGTTGTTCTTTTTCATTTTCATCTCTATCTTGTGTCCAAAATGAAACTCCTGTAGATCTTCTTTTCTCTCTTGGTCACTGTTGCTCTCTGATTGATTTAGGGTATGCTTTATTTTCTCCTTTTTCTTCTCTCTTTTCTCCCTCTTTTTCATTTTCTTTTGTTAATCTTCTGGAATATGCAGAAGTTATACCTACAAGATTGTTTGGCCTGTTTAGATTACTTGAATCGTAGAGTGAACTGTTCATGGTAGAAAGTGAACAGGACGCCCTCGCCCCCCACCCCGAGGTTTGTGGTGCCGGGTGACTCTGGTCGCTGGGCCTGCTTGCTCTGCAGGCCACGTGCTGTGCTTCCACCTCCCGCTCCTTCGCAGCTGCCCCAGCTCAGGGCCAGGGCCACATGGTGAGTGAGGCGGGGTCTGGGGAAGGCAGCGCTGCCCAGGGACGCTGGGTCATCCTAGTTGTGGGAGGGGGTGCTCAGGAAGCAGGGGCCCGCGGGTCCCCAGGTGCGGTGGGGGAAGTGGGTACAGCACGGACACTATCTGGTGGGTCAAGCAAGGAGGCCACCATCTTCAGGGTGGAGGTCGTGCAGCAAGGCGTGGCCCTGGAGGAGGGAGAGGTGGTGGGGATCCGGGAAGAGTTAGGGCTGCTGGTGGAGGACATCTTGCAAGTGGTGGAGGTGGTGGCGGAGGAGGAGCAGGAGGAGATGCAGGTGGAGGAGCGGGAGGAGAAGCCCCAGGAGCAGGGGCAGGAAGAGCCAGAGCTGGGACCAACGACTGCCCGGCCCCTGCTGGAGGCACTGGGGGCCCTGCAGTTAGAGCTGAGCACTCTGAATGCCCAAGCCAGCAGGGCAAGCGCAAGATCAGTCAGAGGTGGAATCCTCAGTTGGATCGCAGAAGGGCCATCATCCAGGGCATTCCTGGCTTAAGGGCCAGAGCCATTATGAACCACTCCCAGATATTGGCCATGATCAGTGACCAAGATGAAGACATGCTCAGCTGCATGATCAGTTTAGAGGTGCAGGAACTGGGCCATCCCAGGCACCACTGCAGGTTGATGTTTTTCTTTCGGAACAACCCCTGCTTCTGGAATGACATGATCATTAAGGAGTATCACCTTAGCATTGCTGGATATAGGGCGTCTCATTCCACTCCCGTCCAGTGGTTCTGGGATTATGAATGAGGAGCCTCCAACTGCAGGCAGGACACCACCAGCCTTAACTTCCTCAACTGGTTGTCTGACCACAACTGCCCAGGGTCTAACAGGATTGCTGAGATCATCAGCAAGGAACTGTAGCCCAATCCCCTGTGCTACTACCCCAGGGAGGAAGGCCCCACCAGGACAGACCCGGAGATGAAGGTGCCAGGGGAGCCTTAGAGTTTGGCCAAATAGCACAAGAGGCAGGAGGCGTCTACAGATGTGGGAGATGCATGGATGTATCTACCTACGCAGTTCTGGTGCCCAGGGGAGAAACGAGGAAAGGATGGTCAGTGAAGGTTCCAGAGAGCTGGGCCCCACATGTGGGGAATGATGCCCAGAGAGACATAAACAAGCTAACAAGTTACAAAAAAAAAAAAAAAAAAAAAACTGGAGTGGTTGAACTTGAAGTCAGTTCTTGTCTGTAAGGCTGATAAATTTTTTTTTTCTTTTCCGTTATGGTTTATTAGAGGATATTGAATATAGTTCCCTGTGCAATACAGTAGAACCTTGTTGTTTATCCATTCTATATATAGTAGTTTGCATCTGCTAATCGCAAACTCTCACTCCATCCCTCCCCACCCCTTCACCCCCCCTTGGCAACCACAACTCTGTTCTCTATGTCTGTAACTCTGTTTCTGTTTCATAGATAAGTTCATTTGTGTCATATTTTAGATTCTACATATAAGTGATGTCGTATGGTATCTGTCTTTCTCTTTCTGACTTACTTTACCTAGTATGATAATCTCTAGTTGCATCCATGTTGCTGCAAATGGCATTATTTCATTCTTTTTTATGGCTGAGTAGTATTTCATTGTGTGTGTGTGTGTGTATATATATATATATATTTATATTTATATTTATATATATATCACATCTTCTTTATCCATTCATCTGTCAGTGGACATTTAGGTTGTTTCCCTGTCTTGGCTATTGTAAATAATGCTGCTATGAACATAGGGGTGCATGTATCTTTTCGAATTATAGTTTTGTCTAGGTATATCCCCAGGAATGGGATTGCTGGATCATATGACAACTCTATTTTTAGTTTTTTGAGGAACCTCCATGCTGTTTTCCATAGTGGGTGCACCAATTTACATCAGCAATGGTGTAAGAGGGTTCCCTTTTCTCCACACCCTTTCCAGCATTTATTACTTGTAGACTTTTTAATCACAGCCATTCTGATTGGTGTGAGGTGGTGCCTCATTGTAATTTTTTTTTTTTTTTTTGGGTACATGGGCCTCTCACCGTTGCGGCCTCTCCCGCTGCGGAGCACAGGCCCCGGACGCGCAGGCCCAGCGGCCATGGCCCACGGGCCCAG